CGTTACGGCGAGGCTCGGGCCTTCGCCCTCGCGTTCACTATAAACATCCTTGAGTCTATCCACCGCATAATTACCAATTCATTTTTATAAGAAAGCACTTTTCAAGAAAGCCTCCAGAATGTAAACTGCGCAGTTACCGTCGGTGCGGCGCAAAGTGCCGATTTAAAAAGACTTCCGTAAGTTGAACCGTGTACTAAACTTCAGCCGAAATATTAACACATTTGGCTACGACATCAATTGGAAGTGATACAATATTTATATAGAGAGTATCATAAAAATTGCATGTTTGAAAGTTCGAAAAGGGTCTTATTTTATATTATACATAGATATTATTTAATAGATCTGTAATAATACTTCAGTAAATAATATTTTAAACCACTCAATTTTTCTACGATTAAATGTTTGTAATTAAAGTATTCCTTCTGAAAGCGGCAAAATGTACTTGCACCAAGGCGGTAATGCAGTGCGCGACGGCCGTGAGGTTACCTTGTTTTCCTTCCTTTCAACCTTCAGCACAATAAACTTAGGAAGGGTAAAGGGTTCTGATTTTGACATACCTGGTTCGTTTTTATGAACACTGAAGTGATATTGTAGCTTAATCCATCTACCAGATGAGGAACGCAGACCAAATTTTTACCGATGTGTTCTTCAATATCATGTTTCACAAATGACCACGCGTCGACCACATTGCATGTTTTCAAACTCGCCAAATTACGGTTGAGCACAACATCCAAACTTTTTTTATTAATTGCATCGGGCTCCATTTGTGGAAGTTTTCAAGCAATTGATAAGTTAATTTCAGCGTGTATGTTTCTACAGGGATCGGCAACAATATAAACAAATAACATTTCAGGTTGCCAGGAAATGATCATCGTCGCGAATTTATCTGAAATGTGTAACGTTGGAGGTTGTTTTGATCATGAAATTGTTAATACTACAAATTATTTTCAAACTTCATGCTTCGTGATTGTGAATATTAAAAGGGGATTTTAATCAGTATTAAAATCGTTGTAGGGATTTTTGAGAGCGTTGGGGGACAATTTCGTAGTGTCATGTTGGCAAGCAGGGTTGCAATGTTTTGTTATCGTCTACATTTCATTTCGTAAACTCGGAGTACAATCATGATGGCTGACTTCGATGCAATATATGAGGAAGAAGAAGAAAATGAGGGACCTTTGGAAGAAACATACGTTGCAATGGTTCCCGATCCCGTTGTCGTGAGAGGAGCAGGGAATATGACAGTGTGAGTAATAAATCAGTGTTCTAGGTTGCCTGTTTTCCTCTGAATGTGATACGTCTGCGAACAATGGATTGTTTTTGTGTTGTCCATTATTTCATTTGTTGAAATATTGTGTTTATATCTAACACTCATTAAAATCTAACGTAAATGTTTCGAATATCCTGCATATGTGTCTGGATCGTATTCTTTTCAATTTTCTATATTTGTTGGCAATAGCCTTGAGACGAAGGGTGTCTGGTGGAAGCTTTAGGTTGGGTAATTTTGGCACCAATCAGTGCCGTAATATTGCTAATTAATGATATAATTGAAGAAAAGTGATTGCTAAGGACATTTGTGTTGCGTCTTTACATTGTAAACAAGTGCACTTGTGTTAATGTGTAATTAATAAAGAGACCTTTTCCTTTGTTAGGTTTGGCCTGAGTAATAGGTTTGATTCAGAATTTCCTAATGGCCTTGTTTCACGTGTTGCTCCTGAGGAGTATAAGGCTACAGTAATGCGTGTTAACAGCATCCTGAAGAAAACACTTCCTGTCAATGTTAAATGGTTGTTCTGTGGATGTGTATGTTGCTGTTGCACATTGGGATGTTCGCTGTGGCCTGTGATTTGTCTCAGTAAGAGAGTAAGTTCAGAAAAGAAAATTGTTATTTTAGAATGTCAGAAAAATGGAACTGTGCATGTAATAATATTGCCACTTTTTATTTAGACTCAGCATTCTATAGACAAGTTATTGGAATGGGAAAATAGCCACTTGTATCATAAATTAGGTCTCCATTGGCGGCTTGCTAAACAGCGTTGTGATTCTTCATCTATGATGGAATATGTAGGTATTTGAATATACTTGTGTATGTTTAAGAAAATAATACAGTGAACATTGATTTAACTGTTTGTATTTCTGTTTTAGGTTCTTCTCATTGAATTCATTCCAAAAATTCCAATCTATAGGCCAGATTAATCAAGATTAAATTGGTGTTGTAATACTGCATGATATTTTTTCCCATTTTTAACAATATGGCGTGCAGATATTGACAACATTGAGCAGGACCTGAAGTGCATAATGGGCCTCAAGAACTGGAATTCTCTCACAAGATTTTCAAGCCACATTTACAGCACGCTTAGTGATTGTGATTTTCTAATTGTTTTAGAACTACTCATCAGTAGATGGCGAACAATTAAGTGCAAGAATCAGTTGTAGGTCATATTCACTTTTATTGATATTTAAAAGAAGTACCATTGTCATCATGGCCAGACAAGGACAAGAAGAATCTGATTAGTTCTCTTGAATTGTTCAACTAAAATTATGCATTGATGCTGCTGATAGACTTAGTTAGCAGTTTTCATATGCATGCCTGGTGCCTATTTGCACATCACTGCTTTGTGTCAACTAGAACCAGTTCTCACATTTTGCATGCATTAATCTTAACATTTGAAGTGGATTGATACAAAGTATATTTTGTTCTCCAGCGATGTGATTCCACTTTTGTATGAATTACCTAGTTGTTTGTTATTAATTATAATTATTTCTGTTTGTGAATATGGTGGTACAATGTTAAGAGATACAAGAACCTACGTTAAATAGAAAATATTTTGTTTTAAAACGTAGCTTTGAGCAGTGCTTGCACTGAGCTGAAGTTCCCTGTCAGGCTGACATGCACAGTCGAGATACCAGACAATATACTTTCTGTAGATTGTTGTTAATAACTGTTATTTTTGCTGGTAGGGCACATCTTGTCACAAATAACAAATGAAGACTGAGTCTTGTTTTTGTATTGAAAGAAGTGTGTCTAAAGATACTATTTATTTCAATGTTTTACCTAAGTAAGTGCTTTGTATTAGAGACAATTTTTATAATTTCTTTTTTTAATCACAGAAACAGTAGTGGTAAATCTGATTGATATATGAATCTGGAATTTGCAACTGCCATGGAAAGTGCATGTAAGTCAGGCAGGTTTTTTAAGGGCGTAGAGTAGGTGGTGTGTGAAAGGTTAATGATAACGTGAGTAGTTTACTGAAGAGAAAAGAGCATTTGAATATTTGGATGGCAAATGTACATTTTTGGTGTGGAAGATTGTGCTGAATGTGTGACGGGTAATAGAATCTCACATCTTGCAGATGGTAGGGTAATAAATGAGTTTTATTTTGCAAATTTTGAGATATTTTCTTTTCAAGAAATTTATATTTAATGGCACAAATGCCATTTAGTGCTCAAACTGTAGTTTGCATGTTAATGCACAATGAATTCACGTTTAACAAAAATTGAAAATGCACATTTAATTTTCTTAATCGAATGAAGGCCTAAGAAAGATTTAATTTTATTCTCTCATTTATACTTGTTAAATGGCCAGTAACAGTAATTGTGGTTATGATTTTTCTAATAATCAGTGTAAGTGTTAGTGACAAACCACACTAGGAAATTTGTGACAGAAACGTGTTGACAAGTTGACCTTTGTGTATGGCATATGCATACTCGTGCAATTACAGAATTAAATTTTAGCACAGTGTTATGATTGAATTGTTTGGTTAACTTGTCATGGTGTAATTTCTATCCGTTTGTGTCTAAAAATTTAACTAATGCAAGACATGCTGTGTGCTGAATTTGTGTAAATTGTGTAATATACCATGCTTATGGACTAACTATAAATATCAGTCAAATGGGTTTAGAATATGAGGGACCAGTCAGATTGTAATGGTGTTTGTTGGTATATCTTCTTTATAAGGGTAGAAGCAATTTTTGTAAATATTATTATGTAGATATAAATGTTACAAAAAGTCTATTCGATCTCATATAACTTATTTTAAATTTGTGAGAGTATGCTTTTGTTTCGAGATGCCTGGATGCTTCCAGAGCTCAATAATTCTTTGGTACCGAGTACACAATATATTTGTTTCATTTATATTGTATCATGCATTTCATGAAGTTTGAAAACTTGCTGAAAATGTGAATGGTTGATATTTATAGCTAGCCCCATGATTATTAATGGGCTGTACATGTCATATATTCTATATTTCCGTTATCTAATACTGTTAAAATTTGTGTATGCTTACAATTTTGTGATAATATAAGAATTACTCTCAACATTTATATATAATTATTAAACTTCATCAAATTTGGAAGAACTGACATTTTATTGTCTCTTCCTAATAAAGATATACCACATCTTTCATTGTTATCATTGACCTTAAATTCACTTCTAATTGAATTACATATATATAATTTAGCTAATGTTGTCAAGTATACAATACTTTTATTTTCATTGGCATTTGTTAAGCAAAAGTCAGTTAAAATCTGTCTAGTTAAACCTAAAACTTTATAATTTTAAAATATTTATAAGGTGTTGCTTTCGTTTTCCCTTGATAAATTGATGCTGAGACATTCAGGTCTTACTTTTCTGTGCACTTTAACCCTTCAATACAACTTGGGGCAGATCTTTGTAATATATGATGGATCACATTGTGCAGAACAGAACCAATCCCTTACTTACAATTACTTCTATTGTAATGAAAAGTACAAATCAAAGAGCTAGTCGTTGACAACAACAATAACATCTGTCTTTTAATTTATAAAGTATTTTTATTTCTCAATTTTATAAAATGTAAATAATAACTGAAGATATGCAGCATCCCATTTTTCAAATAAAAAAATGAGTTTAAAATCTATCTTCATCATCCTTGATGCTCACATCATATGGAATGATGTAGTACAAGTGTCTAGTTACCAAGAATTGACCCAAACTTCGTAAATTTTGAAACATGATGGAATTACTTTTCCTGTGACCCATAGTGGTGAAAATTCTTCTTTTCTCAAGAACACCAGACCCAGAAAAGCTATTGCTTTGTAACACTTCAAAGGAGTTCTTTCTGCTTGCATTCATGCCTGCAATATGTAATCTCTTAAATTTTTTTGGAGAGATTTCAGTGTTGGGGAGCTGGTCAGTGTAAGAACAGACAGCTTCATTAAATGAAAAGCTGTTGCTGTGGTATCATACATTATTTTTAATGATGTTTATGCATTAAGAACAGTTTGCATTATCAGTCATCTTAATATTGTGATTATACCCTGTGCAACAGTCTAGCTAAATTTTTGTTTATTGATTTTTCTTTCAACATTCTCTTCAATGTACGAGTACTTCAGCAATTATCTCATATTACAATACATTCTTTCTTATGCATATAAGGAAGCTGAAAGTGTTAAGTGTTCCTTAAACGTTTCAAGACAATTACCAAGGATGGGATTCTATTTTGGCAATATGAGATAATTTTAAGTAAGGAATAAAATATAAGTTAAACATTCTTTAATAAATATGAAAAAGGTTTTCCATGATTATTAAAGTTAACATTCATGAATAATTAAGTTATAATGATAAAAAAAAAAAATCTTGTAATATTAAGGGTCTATATTTCTGTGCAGATTTATACAATTTTAGATCCCGGAATGACCCCCAAATTGATGATGAATTTAATAGTAATAGTTACATAATTTATTATAACGTAATTTAATAATCATACTTAATAACAATTAGTAACATAACAGTGGTAACTTTGGCTCGGTTTTTTAATATAATTATAAAAATAGGATTATTTTCTGCCGAAAATTAGCCGTTTTTTTTGGTAAAAATTACATAACTTTCTCGGTAAAATTATTAGTAAAAGAAGATATATTTCGGTGAATTACGTCTCATTACTGTGTTATTACTAACAATTTCAGAGAAAAAGTTTTGTATTGCTGCTTGCAAAACCGTCGAATCTTTGGCAGAAAACTCTTATTACTGGGTCCTGATAACGAAAATGTGGATAAATCCAATTGCTAAATTTAGAAAAAAAACTAACACGTAGTGTAGCCAGAATCCATATTTTGCGGGTCCTTGATACCGAAAAATTGATTGACGGCAAAAGACGCCAGACTGCCCGTGTGTCTGAACGACGCTAGCAACTAAAACGTTCAACCGATTTTCTCTAAAATTAATGTTCCGTAATAGATCTGACTGATGACGCGGCCCTTTGAAATTGATATCGATATTTTAATTCTAGGGGGTACTTTACATGAAACCCCTGGAATATTTTTTAAAATTTCAAAAAAGGGCTCCATCGTGTTTAATTAAAGTTTGTTGTTGGATACTGTGAAGAACGTTTAAGAAAATGGTGTAGGTCACATATTCGTTAAAAACCTTAATTTAAAAAAAATTGAAACCTTCATTATTTTTTCGGCGTCTTCCCGCAACTTAAATTTTAAGATCGAGTTTTTTTGCTTAAATCTATTCCTTAAAGAACATTTTGAAATATGGTCATATACAATTTTTCGAAATTTTGAGTAATATCCGCGTAATTCTGCGTGAAATATTGGCAAAATTTACTATCACGTATACGTCCGAAGTAATATACTACGTAGTATAGAGAAAGTTATGAAATTCTGCGGAATTGATTTCGAAGTTTCAATGAAAATACACGTTTTAGGGTCCCGTATTATCAAAAAAGTGTTTTTTCAAAACGTCCTTCTGTCCGTCCGTCCGTCCGTCCTCTTTAAACAACTAGCGCCTAAACCATGTGCAGCATTTTTTTCCAAATTGAAGAAACCACTGTTCATCTGGCTGAAGTTGAAGATTTGAAATTTTGAAAAATAATACTTTAAATTTTGGGCGAACTTTACATGAAGCCCCTTGGACATTTTCAAAAGTTCCTCAAAAAAGTTCCAAATCTTTCTTTAAACACTGTTAACTCTGAATTTTCGAAAATTGCAACAATGTGGATTTTCCCCGGCGTCTTGCTACAACTACAAAATTGAAGATAGAGATATTTTCTTCCAATGAAATATGTTATCTGTATTTGGTTCTTTCATTAAGCTCATGTACTTCTGAAATTTTTAAGTAATATTTGCAAATTTAAAGAATTACAAAACCAAATTTTACTCAAAAACGGCTCCAATTTTTCTTTAAACTTCTGGTAGGGATAGTGCCAAATGTATTCTATGGGATGACATGGAGCCGTATTCATCTTTTTTTTTTTTTTTTTTTTCCAAAAGGTACAAAAATGTAATTTTTTTTGACTTGTGTCTCACGTCGTTAATATTTACATTAGCGGAAATTTGTTCACATTAATGTATTTACTTACAAGTACATGTGCTTTAAATAATGTCATAAAATTTCTCGATAACTCAACAGTTTGCTGTGAAAATGAACTCAAAGTTCATTTTCAGAAACTCTCAAACCTCATTTTCTCAGAAACTGCTCCAAATTTTCTTCAAACATTTTTTACAAATAGTGCTAATTGCACTATTTAATATGGCATAAAGTTTATTTTGCTGTATTCATTTGTATTTTTAAAAAAATGCACATATCTATTTTTTTTAATATTCCTAACGCCGTTAATACGCACGTTTCCAGCGATTTTTAAACACTAATTATTTGTGCGATAAGGGCCTTAAACGGCTTCAAATAGAGTTTCTCGACTACTCTGTGAAGAAGAGCTAAAATGTCGCATTTAGAGTAAACCGTAAATGCCAATTTCTTAAAAAAAGGCTCCAAATTTTCAATGAAAATAGCCATTTATGACGAGCTTTTACTCTTCTTTAATATTCTTAAAGTAATACAAGTATTTTGGTTCTATTATTAGGAAAACAAACAATTGAGAAAATGTAAAAAAATATGAAATATACGTAAAAATATAAGTATGTATGTATATAATATGTAAAAATATGTACTTTGTGCGGTGATAGATGGCAGCTGGCAAGAGGATGGGGCAAGATAGTAAAACCATCCCACACCAACAAAATTAGAAAACTTTGCTACGAGAAAGACTGTGTCATTCTGTAGCACCACTAATTCATATTGTGTTGGCGTGGAGTCGCGTGGTTTTTTGCGTGGAATTGCGTGGTCTTTTAAATTGGTTTGTATTGACTACGGAGATGAACAATTTCTACAACACATTGTCATAATATATAATGCGAATAAATAGGTAAGGTACTTTTTTAAATGTATATTTATTTACTTTTACCTTTGAAAGAAATTATCTTCAAAGTATGTGTTCCCTTTAAAATAAATTCTTCTAAAATTGGTCCTATTGTTATAAAATTCTTCGACACATTCATGGATCTAATTTTTTCTGCAGAAAATACTTTTGATAAAAATACGTTACAATCCACCTACAGCTGGAGATGTCGCTGCTGTATTTCTAAGTGACGATGGAGTTCCCCCACAATATTTCTTTCATTATTCATTCCAAAGCATCTGGTCATCAGGTTAAAATAATTTCTGCTCTCAACCTTCATACTGATCCCATGTCTTATCCATTACTTTGTCCATGTGGGGAACCATCGTGGGAGCTTGGGGTGAGTCATGATTATGTCCATACAACTTCGGTTCGTAATGTAACTCATTTACAATACTATTCTTATCGCTTACCAGTAAGAGTTGAGTTCAGGCTTTTGCACAGTTCTGAAAACTGTTCCAACAATACGTTGGAGATGTTTACGTCAAAGTTGAGGGTTCAAGAGTTGCATATGTGATGTCGCATCAGAAGCAACTTAGAGCTGAAACCCACAAAATAATAATGGATTTCCTATCCTTAAAAGCTCATGTACGAAGAATAAAAATGATTGTAGGTAGGTAGATGAGGAATAAAAATAAAAATGATTCTGCCATTACGTTTGTAGGAACTCCCAGGAACATTCTCCAAAATCATAAAAGATGTCATGTCTATTGTTTGTATGTTTTGGAAAATCTGACTTATTTATTACTGTCGCCGCTAATCCAAAGTGGAAAGAAATTGTTAATAAACCACCTTCCTTCCAGAAACCTGAAAATAGGCCTGATTTAGGTTCTAGAGTGTTTTATCAAACATGAGTAGCTCTGATGTCTGAAATTGCTGAAGGTCGTTTTCGGTATAGTCACTGCGAATGTGCACGTTATAGAATGTCAAAAGATGAGTTTCATTCACACATTTTAGTTGTCTTATAAGATGAAGACAAAATCAACTAGGTGCAATGAATGTGTAACTCTGTTGTAATGACTGAGTTACCAGATGTGTCCGAAGAATCCACAACTGCACAACATAGTAGATGCATGATACATGGAACGCGCTGTTCATTAAATCCAGCAGCTCCATGCAAGGGAAACAGAACTTGCACTAAGAGATATCCCAAATAATTTGTTTCAGAAACGCACAGCAATATAAATGGAGAAGTCCGTAGTGGTGTTCAGGTAGATGGGTCGTACCATACAACCCGTACTTGACGTTAAGCTTCAACGCCCATATAAATGTAGAAGTCTCAATTCTATAAGGCGTATAAAGTATGTATTCAAATACATTTTTGTAAGAGCACTGTGCTGCACTTAATATTAGACAAAATACTGAAAATGAGGTAACTGTGTCAGTAAATGATATTCACATTGATGCTCTCTGCGCGACTACAACATAAGCAGTATGGCGCCTCCACGAAAGGTGTATGCAGAAGAAATCTCACACAATAGAGAGACTACCGATACACTTGCCAGAGAAACATCTTGTGTATTTTGAGGCGGGAAATGGAAGAGGAGTATTGAACAGTGCCAGTGCAAGAGAAACGAGGTTAACCGAATGGATTGCATTAAATAAAATTGATGTATTTGCAAAACACATGAATACAGATATCCCAGAACATTACATATTGTCAAATAATAAGTGGAAAAAAGAAAGAGATCGAGCAAGTGCATTGGAAGAATACACACAGTAAATCCTTCTGATAGAGAAAGATTATTTCTTCGTATTTTAGTTATTCATCGAAAGGGGGCTTCAATATGAAGAGATTAAGACAATTAATGGACAAGAATATGAAGCTTTCTTTTTGGGTGCTAAAGCTCTACATCTGGTAGAGGGTGATGAAAAATGGAATGATTGTCTCGAAGTTATCATTGTTTCACATACATGGTACATTTCACATACATTGGTAAGTTTTTAAGCCATCAGTTGGAATGGTGAAAGTACGTTTAGTTCTATTCAAACTTGTATTTGGTGCTTTACATTGCATTAGCCTGGACTATGCATTGTTTTGTATTATGGATTATCTCGCAAAGAAAAGAAAACCTACCGATGCAAGCGAAGTTATGCTCTTCACGGACAAAGGGGAAGGATGCCGACAACATATATACGACAAATCTAGTTGCGGAAACGACGGCTGTGCTTATTTAAAAATTAAACAGATTGTTGACTACATGAATTGTGCTCGCGAGAAGCTAGACGTATGCTTATACCTATTTTATATATTTAATTGAATATTTTATGTAGTGTTTAATTGATTCTGC